AAATACTGTGTGCTTCTCTTTTTAAACTAATTTACAAGAAATGAGAGTATGGCTCCTCAGTGACTGAGATGTGTGCAGGGACCGGTATGGAGCAATGCAGGTTGAGAGTAGCTGGCACGAAAAGGTACCCCATCCTATAACGGATAGATATGTACCATGGGTTCACATAAGCGTAAAATAAAGCCTCATTTACTTAGTACTGCTTAGAAGGAGATGAAAAGATAATGATCATTTCCTTCTGAAGGTTCAGGTCATTATAAAAAATGCTGACATTACTTGGCTGTTATTTGAACTTGCCACTTCTATAGACGTGGTGCAGGTTGGTGACTTTCTTAAAAACTGACTTTTCTTACACACCAGTCACCAGTTTGAAAGCTAATTTACCATACGAACCACTTGATAATGAAAACCAGGCCACCAGAATCTTGTGGGGGGAAAAAAAATTACTGTGTTGTATAGAGAAATAGTACATTTTGTAATCAAAATGTTCTCTGTGAGAAATATAGTACATAAAAAGAGGCATGCAATTTTTAAATCCTAAAATAAAGATAACATTTATTATCACAAGTTGCTTAAAATACTTAACAGCTTATACAAAAATTTTTGGTAGAAAAATATGTTTGAATACATTGTGATATTTGTAGGAACACCAAACTATTGCTGTACTTTAGCCAAAGCTTCAGAGAACTATATATTCATAAGCAAAATATCCATTATGTACCACAACACGTCTTTGGAAAGAAGTCCGTAGTGTTTTCTGAACAAACGGAAGTATTTACTTGACGTTCTATTGGCATTCTGGCCGTCACCATGACGTGTGTTAGCTGAACGGGATCACGCACTTGACTAGAGAATTGCAGCATTGAAGAGACTTTGTGGGCCCTTGGCTTGTGCTCTCCAGTCCTCCCAGGGCTCGTTCAATTCTTCCTCAGTAAGTACTTCTGGCTTCTTCAGGTTAAGGAAGAGGACACTTAGCATAGGGGCGCTCAGGTCGAACACAGGCGTACCCCACACCTTTACTCAGTGGTGGGAGCTGGGTTTTGTGATCACCATCTGGGCGAATGAAGACATTCTCTAGCTAGAGCTCTGTTAGGCACAGCTGCTGCTCAGTGCTGTTCTTTTTAGTGAACTTGTTTACTGGTCAATGGTCCTTTGGGAGAATCATTGGACTGCTTTTCTTTGACAGTTTCCATGACAGTTCAGAAGGTCAAAGGGCTGCTGTCACGTCTCTTAAAAGTTCCTGTGTCAGATCTTCTCCTGTCCTATGAAAGTCCCAAGGTAAGCTGCCCTTCAGAGTTGAGTCTGCCTTGTTCTCCATAGTGTGACATGCTGCTGAATCGTCATGCTGTTCTAAATAAAGAAGGGCCTGCTGCTAGGGAGTCCCTGTTCCGCTGTCAGGTCTGTCATAGTCACCCCCGTCAACTTTTACTTTTTAGGTGCCGGGCAGAGAAATTGAACTAGAGAATGACCGACAGTCATTACAGTTTTATTCTGTGGAAAATGGAGACTGTCTTTTGGCGCGATGGTAACAGCTACCCACGCTTGAAGATGTGACCGGCTCTTGGAGCATGGCTTATTCACTGGGAGAGTTCTCCTCTTTCTAAGGTTGCCATCTCACTGAGTGTAGATAATAAAGACTTTGTACTACTACTGATTTTCTGATTTGATAGTAAATAGAAACTAGGTAGCCTAATATTATTAAACCATGGTTAATGTCTGTCAGAGACTAGTTTTATTAGAATTCTCTATTGAAACTATTTTAAAATGTCACTAAAATGAATTGTTTGTAATTTGGGGAAATGTCCCTTGGGCACATCCTCTTTATGAAATAGATCTTACCGGCATAGGCAAGGCCGGCTTTGTGGATGATGACACCCCCAGGCTGTCTTCCCCTCCATCGTGGGGCGCCCTCGGCACCAGGGCATGATGGTGGGCATGGGCCAGAAGGACTCCTACATGGGGGACGAAGCCCAGAGCAAGAGAGGCATCCTGACCCTCAAGTACCCCACTGAGCACAGCATTGTCACCAACAGGGATGACATGGAGATCTGGCACCACAACTCCTACAACAAATTGCATATGGCCCCTGTGCTGCTGATGGAGGCTCCCCTGAATCCCAAGGGTAATCGGGAGAAGATAACCCAGATTATGTTTGAGACCTTCAACACCCCTGCCATGTATGTCCAGGCCATGCTGTCCCCATACTCCTCTGGCCACACCACTGTCACTGTGATGGGGTCACTCAGACTATGTCCATCCATGGAGGATATGTCCTCCCCTATGCCATCCTGTGTCTGGACCTGGCTGGCCGGGACCTGACAGACTGCCCCTGAAGGTCCTCACCAAGGGAGGCTACAGCTTCACCACCACAGCTGAGTGGGAAATTGTACGTGACATCAGAGACACTGTCAGGTTTCCCTAGACTGTGAGCAGGAGATGGCCATGGTGGCCTCCTTGGAGAAGACATACACTGTGTGATGGGCAGGTCACCACGATCAGCAATGAGTATTTCTGCTGCCCTAAGGCACTTTTCCAGCCCTTCTTCCTGGGCATCATGAAGTATGATGTTGACATCTGCAAGGACCTCTACCCCAACACAGAGTTATCTAGCAGGACCACCATGTAACCAGGCATTGCTGACGGGGTGCAGGAGATCACAGCATTGGCCCCCAGCACAATGAAGATCAAGATCATCGCTGCCCCTGAGCGCAAATACTCTGTGGATGAGCAGCTCTCTGTCGCCTTCCAGCAGATGTGGATCAGCAAGCAGGAGTACAGTAGTCTGACTCATTCATCACTCACCGCGAATGCTTCTAGGTGGACTGTTTAGTTGTGTTACACCCTTTCTTGATAAACACCCCCTAACTTGAGCAGAAAAAGGACCGGGGGTGGGGGGGGAGAAGCAAAATGAGATTGGCATGGCTTTAATTATTACCTTTTTTTGGTTTTTCATGGGGGGGGGTGCTTGACTCAGGATATAAAAACTGGAACAGGGAGGGTGAAGCAGTTAGTGTGGCACAATTGTACCTCCTAGTTCTCCTGTGTGGCCCAGGCCTGTTCTTTTTTAAATAGTCATTCAAAATAATCATGATATGATGGGATAGGAAGCTCCTGTCTTTCAATAGCCTCTCCTTTCCCCCTAAGGAGAAGGGTCCCATTCCCCCACCTGGGCTCCACACATGGACAGGAGGTGATAGGTAATGTTGCTTTTGTGTAAATTATGTCATCCACATTTCCTTTTTTAAATCTTCAGCCTCAATACTTGTTCTTTTAGTTTAGTTTTTGTTTTCGGTAGTCAGCCATTGGAGGCCCTGCTTCTTTGGGGCCCCTGCCTGGCCCTCCTCCCAGCTGTAGACATATAAAGGCTTTTGGTCTCCCTGGGGTGGCTGAGATGCAGAGATAGCCAGGGCTTTTCCCTGTACATTGCCTTGAGATCAACTGAATAAAAACCCACCCTGAATCTTTATCTGTAAAGTGGGAATATCTTCTATAGATAGCATCTTCAATTGATACTTACATAAACCCAGTAAACAGCAATGATGGGAGGGAAGCAAAGTCCATTCTTTCAAGCTGCCGTCTTAACTACTGAGAAATACCTTTCCTTACAGCAGTAAGCTCCTTGAAGAGAGCTTTAGTGCTAGGAGCTACACTGCCAACCCTAGGAAAGGTGGTTGAAATCCAGAGGCTGCTCTCCAGGAGATGTGCAGCCTCTGAAAGCCCACTGGAGGCTCAGCTGTGACTCCATTCCAGCTCAAAAGCAAGGAGTTGGTTTTTGTAGAGACTATTGGGGGGCGGGGGGAAGGAAATAGCATTTTTTATAAGCATACTAAACTGAGGATTTACGTCAGACAGAGAACATCTGGTATGAGCCCACTTAAAAATGAACCTTCTTAAAATCAAGGTCCAATGTGAGAATGCTGGTTTCTTCTCAGGTTGCCCACTTCATTCAGAAAGCCACAAGACCCGACACTTGAGACAGCCGCAAATGTTGGTCTAAGTGACCACTACACACGTAGAGTTTCTGTGAATTGGCATTTTTTTTGGTCCCTTAATTACTGTTAGTTATATTGTGCAGGTCTGTTCTGCATTCAAGGCTGAAATCTGACACTACTTAAGATTTCTGAAACAAGCCAAGTTTTAACCATAACTGAAAGGGAACAAAGCATTTGGACTTAGAAATAAGAGTTTTTCTTATTTGATAGTGATAGCATCAGTTGATATTTGAAAAGGACATTTTGTGCATACATTAAGTTCCATGACAATGGCGACTGCTCACGCCCAGCAGCACATGCCTCGCTGTCGTCAGCCCTGCCATTGAGGCCACCTTCAGGCGGCTGTGCACTTGCAGGGGTCCCCACACAGCTCCCTCAGCCTCCACAGCTCGGCCAGCTCCCGCGGGGAGCGCTGCGGGGAGGACAGCATCCCCATGGTGCAGGCCTTCTCACACAGCCAGAGGCTGTCCTGTCCAGAGACACAAGCCGACTTCAGAGGTGGAAGACCACAGAAAGCCAGACACAAACACACAGGTCATACGGCTGTCAATTGGAGTGTGGTCACAGGTGGGAAGGGTGTGTGGGTTCAGGAGAAAAAACAGTCCAACACAGCTCAAGTCCCAGGACACGAATGGGCCTTCCTGACATCCCACATCCCTTCTGTTCCTATTCTAGAGTTCCCAACAGTACTGAGTCTGATGAAGGGCATACAGGATTCTGGGTGCGCTGTAACCATTGAACCCTCACAGTGACTGTGAGGTCGGAGGTCCCTCCCTCTTACAAGTGAGCAGCAGTCCAGGAGATGACATCATCTGCTCCTAGTGAGTGGGGCAGCTGGGTCCCCCCACCTGCAGAGTCGGTTCTGACTCGAGACAATCTGCATTGTCCCCATGGCCAGGAGTGAAGGAGAGGTCTGCCACATGCGCCCCTAACCTGACTCTATGGCCCCCCCTCCTGTGGGTGCTCACCTGGTGTCTTCGGGGTCCAATAGCTGCCATCCAGATGCCCATGCTCACATCTTCACCCTGCATGTGCCCCAGGGTTAAAGGCCATAGTTTATAAATGCTATGCCATCTGTAAAGACAATGCCATACCTGCTCCCACAAGAAATAATCTTTTTGTAATTATTCTAATGCCAAACAAGAATTAAGGCTTGGACACAGCAGAGCTAGTGGTGGTTATTATGGCAGTCCCATAGCCCACACTCCTGGGAGTTAACTTGTAAACACAAGCTGGAAACTTTAGGCTCTAAAAAGAGGAACAGCATTACAATTTAGCACTAGGATGTGAGGGGTGTCAGGAGTATCCCTCAGCTGTGAAATACCACCACCAGCTTGTTAATAGCCTCAGAAACCCTGTTACCTGGTAGGTCTTGAGCCTCTGCGCATTGCTGGCCATCCAGTGGACGATGTCTCTGGAGATGACATAGCCGGACCCACACGCGAAGGCTGGGTAGGCAGGGCTGGGGTACTCCAGCTCCTGCCACTTTCCAGTTCTGTCCACTGCCCAGTTCAGCCGGAAGCTGAGAGGAAACATCAGCTTTGTTAGCCTGATACACATGCTGCCACCTGACTTCTTTAGCATCACAAAAGGCTAAGCTCCCTGCTTGTGGAAGTAAGACAAGGACCAAGACATTGTGTGGATCACAACAAACTGTTGCTGACTCAGAAGAATGGGAATCCCAGAACACTTGATTGTGCTTATGCAAAACCTATACTTGGACCAGGAGGCAGTGGTCAGAGCAGAGCAAGGAAACACTGCATGGTGCAAAATTGGGAAGGGTATAGGCTAGGGATGTGTCCTATTTCCATACCTTTTCAATCAATATGCAGAACATTATCCAGGAGGCTGGGCTCTATGAGGAAAAATGTGGCATCAGGATTGGTGGAAGATTCATCAACAATCTGCGTTATGCAGATGACACAACCCTGCTTGCTGAAACTGAGGAGAACCTAAAGCACTTGCTACAGAAGGTTAAGGGCTGCAGCCTTCAATATGGATTGAAGCTCAACATCAGGAAAACATTCTCACCACTGGGCTGACTGGCAGCCCCATGATGGATGGTGAAGAGATTGAGATTAACAGCTTCAGTGTGCTTGGCTCCAAAATCAGTACTATTGGTACCAGCAGCCACGAATGAAGACAAATTGCACTGGGAAAGTCTGCTGTTAGAGACCTCTCCAAAGTACTGGAGACTAAGTACACCTGATCCAGGCCACAGTCTTTGGAATTACTTGCTATGTGTCAGAGAGGTGGACAGTGACTAGGGATAATAGGAGAATTAATGCCTTTGAGATGTGGTACTGGAGAAGAATACTGAATACACCATGTCCTGGAGAGGGTTGAGATCAAGCTGCTCCTTGGAGGTAAGGATTCAGAAGCTTCATCTGACATACTTTGGACATGTTGCAAAAAGGGACCAATCCTTGGAGAAGGGACGTTTTGCTTGGAAAAGTGGAGAGACAGCACAGGAGAGGAGGAACCTCAAGATGTACTGATTCCGTCACTGGGATAGTGGGTGTAGGTGTGGCAGAGACAGTAATATTGGCACAGAGCAGAATAGAGCAGGGTTTAGGGCTGTTGGTGGACATAGGGTCGTTGTGAGTCACAGGTGACTCGAAGGCACAGAACAACAGTAACTAGGAAAGGAATTGGTATGTATGCAGTGAAACATATCTAACACTGACACAATGAATTTTCCTATAAACCCATTTGTGGAACTTCTAAACAAAGTATCCGCTCATTGTATTTACACACACATACATACACATACACACTGTTATGTGTGTGTGTATGTATGTCTATAATATATAGTAGTGTATTTGCATATAAATACATATATATGTAAAACTCCATGCCCACCCCTTATAAAAACACTGATATGTAGTGTATTCCTTTGAGAAGCAGCATCAAAAATAACTTTAGAGATGTGCCCCAACCGATTCTAAAATAAGATGTATCGGCAACTCAGTGCTGTCAAGACTGAAATGACTCATGGCGGACCCTCCAGCAGGCTTTCAGCAGCTGTAATCACATGAGAGGCGACTGAGAATTTGGAGGATTTGAACTGCTTGACTTTGGGTTGGCAGTGCAGCTCCTTACACTTACACATCAGGCCACCAGAGCTCTCTGTCACAGGGTGAGCAAAACATTACATTAGCCTGAGATTTTCATTATATTTTTCTCTCATCATAAAGTAATAAAATATGATAAGCCAAGAGACCAACAGGGACATTTCACACCATTACCGCATTATTCTTGTGCAAAATCACTTGCATACTGAATTCCATATAAATGATCTATTTTCCATATTCTAAATAAAAAGATCTATTTGAAAATGAAGAGCTGAAAAGATGTGACTTACTTTCCCCACCAAAAATTTGGCCCATCGAGCTTCTTGTGGGTGATTCTGTTGAACACAGATTCGAGGTCTATATAACAGTCGTCATCTGTCTTTAGCAGCAGGTCAAAGCTGGTGGTTTCCACAGTCCTGCTGGGCAAGACGATGCACATCAACCTCACGCACGAGGGAAAAGCGGCAACATGGCATGCCAGCACCAGCGTCGGCACTGCGTCAGCACCCACTCGTGCGGTGCGGACCATGTGTTTCTAACAACTCTGCTGCCGTCAGGCACCATGGTCACTTGGTAAATGCTAACAGTATGAACACACAGTACCAGACGGCCCTGGAGAGGTGGGAAGGAAAGCGTACAGTGAGAGAGGATTGGCCGAGGTGAGGCCAAGGCACTGGTCACGCGGGGCTACCTGATGGATGGAGCAGTGATAGTAAAGGGTCGCACTCTGCACCACCATTTTCAGTGATGTTCACACAGCAGCTGAGCTCCCACTTTGCTCCTCTATGCATATTTAGGGACAGTGGTTCTGCTCTTCGGCACACATGTTCCCATCACTTTCCTCTGGTGCTCTGTATTCACTCCCTCCCACACCATCTCACAGCTGGAATCATCTCATAGCTGACCCCTCCGTAGGTTCTCAGAGGCTATAAATCACAGGCCACAAGACCATCTATATTTCTCCCAAGGAGCAACTGGTGGATTCGAACCACCTGCCTTGGGGTTGGCAGCAATTCCCCACCAACTGGGCCACTAGAGCCTCTCGCTACAGTTGTTCTTAATTCCAGGCCTAGAACAAGGTGAAGGTGACCCTTGGCCTCTCTCACAGATGTGCCCCAGTACAAAATGGCCCTGTGCAGAGGTGTTCATAACTCTTGCTATTTGTGGCTAAACAATGGAGTTCTAACACTGAAGCCTATTTTACCTGGGAAACAATTTCGAGCAGTTAAGCTATTATAAATGACATTCTGGAAGTGATTTCATTTAGCTAGAATTTAGAAAACCTTAAGGGCAACCAAAGGCAGAATGGACACATTCTCATTGACCATCCCTGTACATCTTTAAAAACAAAAAAAATCCCTTGTCTGTTCCAGGAACCAGTGAGAGGACAGAAATGTGGAGAAGGTTTCATTAAGTCAAAGTATGGTCAATTCAACAATGTTGGGTCCAAACCAAACAACCTGGTACTGTCTAAAGTTATGCTAACTAACAATAGAAGGATTAGATAGCACTTGCAGGCTATTCAGACATAAAAAGAGGAGCTGTGGTAGTTAAAGATTAAATAAGCAGCTGTTAATACAAAGGTGATCTGCTAGTCAGCTGTTCCACAGGGAGCTCTCGTGGACTAGTGGTAAGGAGCTGCACTGTCAACCTAAAGGCAGCCGGTTCAAATCTCCTCCCCTGGGATTTAAGCCTCTGAAATCCTACTGGAGGGTCAGCTATGCGTTGGTTCCAAATTGACGGCAATGAGTTAAAGACCTTGCCATTTTAATGATTAACAACAGCCTAGAAAATTCTACAAGACAGTTGTGCTGTCACATAGGGGTGCTCTGACTGCAAGCAAATTAATGGGATACAACAATAACGATAATCAGAAAGATGTCTGTGTTAGTGGACATCCAGGTAATGAGAACCCACGATGAAACTGGGCAGGGTGGCATGCGCTAAGGGGAGGGGGCCAGCAGTGCAGGCTGGCCACAAGCTTTTTACCCTGTAACCTAGGACAGCAGAGACAGGAGGCTGGAGGTTCAGACACGTGAGGAGCAGGAAAGGGAGCATCAGTGGGCCTATCGAGGGCTCTCCAGGGCGCCGGGTCCCCACACAGAGACCTCACCACCATCTGCGTCTCCACAGTGTCTGCTCCTACACTGCTGCTCTCCACACCCTGCCCTGTGTCTCCCCTGGAACCCTGAAAAGAAAGGTCCTTTTAACCTCAACTCTCCAAAGCTGGTATTCTAGGCACACCCAAAAATCTGCCAATCTTCACTGCTATCCACCCTTGAGATTTCTTCAAAGCGATAGTAACTTATTCCAACTACAAACCATCAGCTTCTTTCTGCTAATTAGAATGACTGATCTTGGGGACCAAGCACTGCTTCCCTAATAAGTAACTCAATGCTGGAGTGGGAACCAACTCGGAGCCAACCCTCCACCAGGCTTTCAGAGGCTGAAAATCACACAGAGGAGCAGCTGGTGGGTTCAAACTGCCTGTCTTTGCATTGGAAGCATAACTCCTTCCCCACTAGGCCACCACATCTAGAAAGTACTTGATAAAGGCAGGAATTAAAAAAAAATAATCCAAAAAACACTGACGGATATGGGCAGCTGTATCTGTGCTGGACTCTCAGGATGACTGAATTCCTGTGTGCCATCTTCTCGCAGTCCCTGTGTGGTACAGTTAAGTGCTCACCACCAGCCTGAAGGCTGGCACCATGAGCTCGGTCAGCATGTGCACGGCCTGGGGACCAGCTTGGGACGCCCTGTGGGGACGGTCTGCATGCATGGGGCCACCGTGCGTGGGGCCACCATGAGAGGGGGCAGGGGCCACAGTGAGAAGAGCCACTGTGCGTGGGAGCCAACTCCAGGGCTAATCCAGCAAACAGAGCCCAACAGCAGGAACAGAGGTTGGACAATGCCGATGGAGAGGATTCAGTAAGAAGCTGGGCACCGGAATTAAAGTTTCAGAAAGGGTGTGTCAGAATACAGCTGAAAATGGACCAGCTCCACATGCAAAGATTTTCATCTAATGCTGACTCAAGGGAACCATGGCAAGTAGGAATGACCAACTGAATCACTTTTGCTTTGTTTCTGAAAGATTACAGGTTTGCTAATGTGAACAGAAAGGGAATTGAGAGGTCTCTGTTCCAGCATTCTGAAGCTGTATTGTTTCGAAGCCATCACTCACTCTTTCCCAACCTACCATTTGTAGAAGTTGAGTAACTTTGCAGGGACGTTCCGGTATGTGTCGACGACATCCACGAAAACAACGTCGTCATGGCGCCGGCTCTCTTCCTTCAGTAAGGCATCTTCCTGGTGAAGAGCGCTCATGTGCTCGCTAAGTCTTTGAGGACGAGAATGAAGATTTTTCAGGAGAGCATCACCCTCTACAAGGGAAAATCAAGAAGCTCAAAATACTGTTGCAGACTTAAGGCCAGAGCATCAAGGGTGACGTATTCACTAAGCCCTTTCCCAGGTAACCTGACATGAGGACAGCCTGTTAGGGACTTGGAGTGGGAGGGAGACCTCTGATGCATTAGGAGTGGGGGACACATGGACACATTTGAGGAGCAGCCTGCAAAGTCCACCTAGGCTGAAGCTGTGCTGCTTATATGGCTCAGCACACATAGACAGAGAAACTGCTTCAAGTTCCTAACTGTCACTGCAGCACTGTCTGATGGTGGGGCCCAGGCATCTGTATCACTTCAGCTTACTGATACAGGAGGACCATGACTGCCTTGTGAGAAAGAAATCCAGGCCTGAATTACCTGTGGGTCTTTCTTAAGTCTCACAGTTTACTGTAACATCTTTTCAGGTTGATGCAAAGATAAAGACAGACAATTTAATGCCTGAAGTAAAGATGAAGCAAGTGTAAAATGACATTAACATTTCTCTTAAGAACTGAACTGAAATACAAGCCCTATACATTAGTAAATTACCCATTTTATTCTGTACTACAGATATCGAAAAATCTGACTGTAAATAAATCTGTGTGTGCATGTTCTCCACCTGATGACCTGTCTAGGTGCTTTTTCAAAGAATCTTATGACCTGCAGCCTCTCAAACTTTGACAGATGAGTCCACTTAGGCAGTCTGCTAGAATACATAAATCTAAGCTCCAACCCTAAATACTCCCATGAGATCAGGAAAGGACAAGGACATCTGGTCTTGTCACGTGTATATAGAGTTCAGCCAGAGCAATGAGACAAAAGATGGTCTAACCTATTATTCATGGTCAAAAGTCCCTCAAGACATTGCTGCTGAGCAGAAACCAGCTCCCGACTGCCCTCCAGCGGGCTCCCCAGGCTGTAAGCTGCATGGAAGGAGACTGTCCATCTTTCTCCTGCACATTCTGCTGGTTCACAGCGGCAGAGAAGCCCAGCCTTGAGGTAAGCAGCGCAGCTTCCCATGGACTGTGCCACTGGGGCCCCCCACTCACAGCATAAAATGCTAATGTACCCACAAACCCAGGTAACCATGTTTAGCAGCACTGCAAGCCTACAGAATCCATGCGGTCACCTCTTGATATTTGTGGAGTTTTAGTTCCAGGATCTCCTTCAAATACCAAAATTCGGGGACACTCAAATCCCTTCTAGAAAGTGACCTAGTGTCTGCATATGAACTATGCACATCCTTCGCCTCTTCACATTAAATCAGTGCAAACTCATTGCACTGTAAATACCATTTAATATCTTAGCCTCTGAGAGAATGTTTGGAACACTGAATTTTTAAAAAGCATTTTTTATCTAGTTGGTTGATCCCATGGATGTGGAACCCATACACAGGAAAGAATGACTGAATACAAAGTTCAAATATATCTAAATGTTATTTGACATACCAAGCATATCTAAATAATGTGAATGACTGCAGACTGCATACAAAACACAAGTATATCTAAATATTCTTAAAGTATGTCTGAATAATATTTATAAATATTAAAAATATAAAAAATGACATTAAGAAAACAATGCCATTTATAAGAGCATAAAAAGAACTGAGAAAAGCAGTGCAGGACTATCTAACATGAAGTACACACCACCACTGTGAGAAGTGGTTGGGACCTCACTCCTGTGCTCACCAGCAGACGCCTCACTACTGACTTGACGCTGAGCTGTAGGTGAACGGATCATCGTCCCAACTGCCCAGCTAGCTTTCTGTGCACAAACCGGCAAGCTGACTCTAAAAGGCACATGGTGATCTAAGGGGCTCAGAAGAGCCACTCTTGAGGAAGCACACAGTTGTAAATTCAGGCTCCTGATTTCAAAATGTACTGCTACCAATCAGGACAGTGTGGTATGGGCATAAGGTCAGATGTGGAGAATGGAGTCCAGAGGTCAGAAGCAGAGCATATTTTTACAGTCACTGACTGTCCACAAGGATGGCAAGAACACCTGAGGTGGGGGGACAAAGTCTTGTCAACAAATGGTGCCGAGCAAGCTGGGTCCCACACAGCTCACCAACAAATCAAAACCCTGTGCCGTCCTCATAACCTCCACCGCGCGGAAGCTCCTGGCTGCAGCCACTCTGTCAGGCCATCTCTGTGAGTGTTGATGTCCCCAAACCCTATGTCTCTCTGACCCCAATGTCCTTGTCCTTGCTGCTGGTGACAGGCTCACAGCCTGGGGATGAAGTCTCACCATTCTTGTGCCTGTCTTGGCTGCACTTGGTATGTTTAGTCTTTCAGCAGTCAGTCTACAAGCACATTCAATCCTCTTCAACACACAATTCAAATATCCACAGTATGTAAAGAACTCTTATAATGAACAAAAAAAGAAGACAGAAAAGAATCCAAACAAAACTGGACAAAGGATTGGAATGGTCATTTCTCCAAGGAAGATAAGCAAACCCACAATGAGACAGTACTTCTAGGAGGGCTAGAAGGAGGACAGAAAGATGGACAATAAGTAGCGTTAATGAGGACAGAGACATTGGAACCCTTATAAACTGCTGGTGGGAAAGAAATAGGCTTTGGCCAACAGCCAGCCCCTCAAATGATTAGAGTGTTGCCTAGTCACAGGTATTTGTGTAAGATGAAAGCATGTATGTATCCTCACTAATGCAGTATTGGGAGCCTTGGTGGCCTAGAGGTGAGAAAATGCACTGTATTCCCAAAGTCCACATGGTTCAAAACCATCAGCTTCTCCATCGAAGGAGGATGGGCAATCTCCTCCCCCATGATTAAGTACCTCTGAAAACCCGCTGGACGGTCTGCTATGGGTCAGTTCTGACTTTATAGAGCTCAACAGACTACTATCCAGTGATTAAAAATACAGGAAACAGTTTTTTATGTCAAAACATGAACAAATCCTAGGGGAGCTCTGGTGGCCTAGTGGCAAGAAGCTGCACTGCAATCCCAGAGGTACATGGTTCGAATCCACCAGATGCTCTGCCAGGAAAGGAGGGACAATCTCCTCCAGTACCAGTCAGATCTGATTTGATGGTACACAGACAGACAGACAGACACACACACACACACACACACACACACACACACACACACACACATAATAAAATAACAAAAAAAAAATGAACAAATCCTGAGAACATACAAACGGGAAACAGTCGGCCATGGAAACTTCCACCCATAGTATGACGCCACCTCGATGGGAAATCCACAAGGAAGGTGGCTTAGTGGTGCCTGTGAGGGGAGGATGGAGTTAGGACAGTGACTACGCGTCAGAGGCTTCGGGGTGCAGTCAGAGAGGGTAATGGGTTCAGAACTCTGTGTTCAAGGAACTGACAAGAGAAGACAATGAACCATACATTTTAAAAGGTTGACTTGTATGCTATGTCAATTATGTTCCAGTAAAGGTATTATATTTTCTTAAAGACATCTTTTCTATGAAGATGCATCTTTTGTATAAGCATAAAGTTAAACAAAGCAACCTAACCCCTTCGTGGTCCGCTAACCCCACTGCAGCTGTTCCCCAGGTTTCAGAGACACCATGTCCTTGGTAGAGAAGCCTGCCCATATATCTTCTGCAAAGCCGCTGGAGGATTCGAACCTCTGACCTCTAACCTAGCAGCCCAAGATAATACGCACCACCAGGAAATTCAGTAGGCCTTACGACATCCAGCTGATAGACTTACCCTGAATAGTATAAATAAAACTTCCTGCAACTCCTTCGGCACCTTCCATGAACTCATGAGGCAGAACACCTTCCCCAGCCTGAAAGCATGAGAACAGAAATGCTCAGTATGTTTCTTCAGTAAAAATACATTTATTATATCTTAAAAATTATAAAGTAAAACTTATGCTACAGTTCCAGAGCAGGGGCCTGCAAGGTGTTGACTGTCCCGAGGGGTCACAATAGGCAGGCCGCAGGGCACTCCCACAGTGTGATATCTAAAGACACCATCAAACACGAGGCCCACTCAATTAGTGCCAAGAGTGGCCAGAACGTCAATTCACACAGTTCTCTGTTCTGTTCCTGATCCCACATTGGTCCCAAACCAATTTCACTTCATAGCTCAATCCCACCACTTAAAAAAAAAAAATCATTACTATTATGTTTAACTCCTTGGAGACTGAAATTTCTCATGAATTCTAACATATCTAGATGTATTGCATAGTTCAGTCAGTTACCATGAACAAAATGTCCCTCTAAGGCAAAAGTGGGTCTCACACATTTGGGACAGAACTCTACTGATTATGCATGTTTTTCTAGTGACAAGAATATGGAGCCAGCGTCTACAGAGGCCTTTCTATCTTTAAGGTGAGAGAGTCTGCTAAAGATTTCCCTGCCTTCACCTCCCAAGCAATTCAGAGTCCTTCCTCAAGATGAGGTGTTTCCTCTGTGTGTGGGCATGCTGCATCTGGCAGTGCTGTTCTGTACCATAACGGGCTAGGTCTGACCTTCGGAGGTTTTCCTTCTTCCCCCACACGCTCATGCCATCAAAGGGCAATGGTGGCTAGTCCTCTGCAGCAGGGCTGCCCTGGGGGCACTGCTGCTCTTCAGCCAGAAGAGACAGTGTTCTTAAGTAATCATCCATTAGCTTAACACATGGCCTGTGGCTGAGCGCTGAGGAAATTACTAGAGGTGAATGCCATGGACAGCTTCAAATCATGTGATCAATAAACAGCTCTACATTATTTTTCATTGTATATCCTCATTTTTACTTGTTTAGAATTTGACAATATTGCTTCTCTCTCAAAGGCTACAGCTGGCTGTCCATGCTGTAAAAAATATTTCAACTGTCATTACTCGCTGGCAAGAGTGAAAACTCAGTGAAAAATAGGGGAAAATTTTATATATCTTTATTTTTTTATAATGAATTTGCGATGAAAATCTCCATGTGTAGGGAGAATTTCTTACTAGCTGAATGGTTATGCTACTTTTAGCCCTTTAGCCCTCTGCAAATATACACACCCCCAAGCAGATCATTTGAGAATTTGTACGTAAGCCTAATTATCAGCTCAGAAGTAAACTTCCTTCTATGTAACTAACTCAGATACTTCAGTATTAACTCAAATACTCCGGAACTAACTCAGATACTTCAGTACTAATTTAAACGTTTCAGAACTATGGCAAATTTTGGGTATTTTACAATTTTATAAAAAAAGAAATGTAATACACAGATACGTAACAAAGGGAAGAGGAACATTAAAAAAACAAAACCCTTAAAATTTTTTTCTAACTTAAATAAAGAACTTTCTACAATGAAGGATGAAATCCTAGAACTTTCACTTGGGTGGCCTACAAGGTTAGGTTTATAATGATACAGGCTCTGGGTATCTGTCTTTTAAGTAGCTTTCTTCCTCACTAGAACTGAGAACCCCACTGTTAAGGGCTGCCCCTCATTGTGTCTGGTTTACAAGAGGTGTGTAGTAATGTTTTCTAAATGAGTTGAGTCAGAACCAACTCCTGGCTGACCCTCCAGGGGGTTTCAGAGGCTGTAAATCACACAGGAGGGGACTGTCCATCTTTCTAATCACCATGGAGCAACCAGAGACTTCCTGAGTGATTACTACCCTATTGAATGAGATTACTTTAAAACCTAATACCATTATTGATAGATGGTGTTTTAACTCATTTCACTCTCAAGGTAAGACAGTGAATAAACTTCCATTCTTTAAGTATGATAACAAAAATGACTGAGAAGTGAAACTGTCAGACTAAGGCAAAATTGTATATTCAGTAATACTGTAGTTAGAAAATCCTATGTGACATCTGAGACTTTAGAGTCTGCTACTGTGTATTTTTACATTGTACCAGAACATGGAAGGTTCAAATATGTCATTTGTCTGTGTGGATATAAACTCAGAACTCAATCTCACTGCAACTGAGCCTAGACTGACTCACAACTGACCTTCCAGCAGCACGACTCCGTACCACGGAGCCACCAGAGTTCCTTGCAAAAGTGAGCTTGGATACACTTTTAGATATTACATATACATACAGGACGCTAAATAAAGCCAGAATCTCCTGACAACCCTTAAGGAACAAAAAGCAAGGGTACTCACAGCCATGACCCTGAGCACGCCCCCTCCATCGTTGATGGCCACGGCGTGAAGGCTGCGCGCCAGGAGGCCTCCCTGGTCCTGGCTTTCCCACACCACGGTGCCCTCGAAGCTCTTGGGGGAAAGAAAAACAGTCAGCTGACTTCTTTACTGCCATCTATAGTCAGATTTTAGACAGAATTTCTTTACGCATAGTTCACATTTTTATCCCCTAACTTTGAGACAACCAGGGTTTAACATTTTGTGGCTTTCTTTGAACCATTTAAACAAAGAATCATCCCGAGAATAAACAGACATTTGGTAGTGGTAAATATCAGCTGGCTTAACCGCCCATTTCCCCTCTCTCCCCCGCCCCCATACTGTTTTTTAGGTAAAAGAATTTCCAGAGGTGAAATTGTTGGGATAAGAGAATTTTTTTCTTTAAATAGAATACTTTATTAGTTTCTGTAATCAAAGCCATGTAAATAAAACTTTACATATTGATTGCCAAATAAAATCTGGAGTGCCCCCCACACACAAAAAAACCAAACAAAAAACCTTACATATTAATACATTGCATTATCCCTGTGTTAATGGGGGGGGGGGTTAAGCTTAACATTTCTAGACCAATATGGCTATTAATTTCTGTACAATGCCAACTCAACACAAAAAAACTGTGATACTTTTTTCCAAAGTTGACAGCATAAAGTTTAAAAAAATTCTTATTTTATATATACAGATATAGATATATAAAGACAAATCACAATGTGTTACACCATCAATAGTAGCAACACATTTTCCAGATTCTGCAAAAACCTCCAGAAAGAGATTATTTTTGTGTGTAGATTCTGATACATACTGTCAAGCTACTTTTAAAAAGCCACCTATACTAATCTAGTGTCATTTTATGCGTGTGCCAATTACTGGGCAAAACAAGTGTAAGCTTATCGAGTACAGTAAGTTCCTGCATTATAAACAAAGGACTCAGGTACAACTCCATCTGATCAACAAATGTCACGTAGAGATGCATCTGGGGAGCAAAGAGGGGGAAACAAGCGCCCATCAGAGGGCAAATGGCTAAGGAAACCCCAGTCCATTCACACTATGGAGCATCACTAAAGGATGATTCAGAATTTGTGAAATACCACACCATGCGGATGAATGTAGAATAAACTATGCTGACTGGTGTATATCAGTCACTCAAGGCCAAGTACAGAGTTAAGAACACTATTCTAAAAAAGCCAAGGAAAAATTCGCAGAGACAGAAGCAATCTTGGCAGTTTAATAGGGATAAGATGGGGAGGGCGAGGGGAGTGAAAAACTAGCTAAACTGAGTGAATGGAAAGGCAACACATGATGAGGGGTTGATTAAACACTAATACATTAACAACATCAGTCAGCTGTAAGTGGTTATAAAAAAAGGCTGTGTGAACGGTGGGAGTGGACTTGAATCGGGACACACCCCTGCATCTCTGACCCGCGACCCCCATCTTCAGGTACTGCACTG